GAGGCTAATTTATGTTCCCCATCAGATGTCATCCAAGTCTCATCCTTGTCCAGCACCACAAAGTCCTCCTCATTAGTGGAATCGCATGAGGCTGTCCGAGTGTCAGGACATAACTTTCTATGACCAAGTTCGGATTTCTTCCCATTTCCCTGCTCCTCCATAGCTGTAGTCCCACTATGAATCACCAACGTACTCCTCCAGCCTTGACTTAAAGTTTGACTTGTCTCCTTAGGGCTCAGGACAGTTTTTGACTTCTCTGCAGTTGGAGTGACACACCGGCTCTCCTTGTCTCCTCCCACCATTTCTCCCTTGGTGTTCAGATGGTGCTCCTGCTGACCATGATGTCTGATTGGCTGCCCAGTTTGGGGGTCTGTACGTGCAGAAGTGACAGGGAGATCCCCTTGGTGCCCAGTGGCAGGGCTGCTCCCACCAATACCCAGAGGGGTCGCAAAACTGCCATCGTCCTGATCTCTGCTCTCATCTGGTCGTGCCGTCTCCGACTGCTCTGTCTCTTCAGTTTGCCCCGACCAATCAGAACTATCGAGCGACTCTTCATCTTTTTCCGACAACTTCTCCAGCTTTTGGCCCATGGTTGTTCAATCTTGACATTAGGAAAAGAGAGAGACACATGTCAATACAATGATGTAATGAGGATGGATTGCCTCACCATCCCAATGAAATACAATAACTTGCCGTCTATTTTTAACCATCTTGAACTTTTCTCTATTTTTGTATATGCTTCTATACTGCTCACGCTTGCCCTTCCATGCCCTCTCTATCTATATCCCCCTATTCTGTCATGGAGGAATGCTGTGGTGGCTATAATTAAAGCTGGTCGGACTGCTGCTAGTGAGTCAGGAGGCCAAAAAAGAAACAAGTCAAGTGAGATAAGAGGTCAGCTGCCAGGTGCCAAGGTCAAATAAAACACTAAGAGAAAAAACTGGTCTAATCTCTTTGTAAACCAAATGGATATGTATTGAATGACACCAAAGGCCTATTTATATGATATGTAACTATCTAATTTTGTAAACATGTCCCCTCAGAGCCAGCACACTGAGAGACATCACGCACTGTAAATTACTGGTTTGGAGACAAGGCGTGTTTGTGCGTCCCTTCAAACCATCTGAATGTTTATCTTTGTTTTGGTTACACAGTTTATAAAGGTCACCTACAATACATGATTCAAGTCACAAGTGCTTTGACTTCTGATCCAAATTGTTTGTCAGGAGGATGAAGGATTATCGCAATTGGAGAACAGCTGAACTGACTTTAAAGTGGCATGTGGAGTCAGAGTATTACAAACAACTGAATGTGCACATGTATTGTTGCTTGCATCAGGTGGGCTTTTCAGGAGAATACACTTAAGTCGATGTAGAGTCCATGCTAATGCTAATGTGGTTTGCTTCTTTCATCAGCTGACAGCAGAGTGAGGACAGAGGTGGCTGAACCTCTTCACCCTGCATCTGCAATCATGCGCTCTGCTGCTTGAGCTATTTCAAGTCTGACGGGCGTTGAGTGACACTTCATTTTTTACAGGTCCGTCTATTTAAACAACTTGCTCGTCCACAGAACATCAATTCAATGATTAGACTTTGGGCTTTTTTATTATGGTTCTTGTTGTGTGCACCAGTCTTTCTTAACGCAGGGAATTTATAGTTGGATATGATGTTATAGCAGCGGTTATCTCTGAACACAAATGTTGAGAGTGCATAAAAACAAGTAAGAAAAAAGAGGACATAGTTACTTTGCTGAAAGTCATATAAATATTAAAATAGTTATGTAAAAACGATAGATAAATAGCATAGATGATAACTAGTAACTTGGGTTTATCCGACAGGGTTATGAGGGTACATCATCATACATTCACATGAGTAGAACTTGCACAATTATTTTATTTAACACCAAAAGGTTTTAAATTGGTCCAGAGCTAAGTTTTGAGTGTTTTAAAAATTGCCCTTGTTTGACCAGAATCTGACTGTGACATACTGCCCTTCACCTGCGTCCTTATGTTGACTTAGAGCTTTTATTTGAAACCTGCTGACATTGTTAAGCCCTCTGGTTTTCTTGTATGATTGATGTGGCTCAAAACAATCCACAGATGCGTTCACTTGCAGCTTTAGTGTATCTAAAGTGTTATTTTGGGATGAATGTGTTATCATGGCAGCAGTTGGGAGGAATCTGTGACATCAGCCTGTGAAACTCTCTCCCTCTGTCTCTGTCCATCTCCCATTACTGTTGTCTCTCACAGTTTAGAAGAGGCTTGTGACTTTGGGTGCACACACTATTAGCCTGGGCTCACATGGGTTTTGTTTTTCCCAACAGAATACTGTGCCTTTCCTTTGGAGCGTTGAGTGCATAACATGCAAAAAAGCTCAAATTCAAATAGGCATGAGGACAGGAAGATATACGGACACATAATCTAGTTTGACAGTAAAATATTCAGAGCAGTATTTAAGGCATGGGGTCATAAAACCAGAAAGTGCTGATACTTTAAGGTGGCACAATGTTTTTATCCAATGTTACAGCTCATGTTGAGATATTTCTTGACTTGAATAACACAGATCAGTCTACATTACCAAAGAACGGATCTTTCAGACACTGTAAATATTTGAAATATTGATTTGAAAAAACCTTTAAGTTCTCCCACTGGACTGTTGTTACTGTAGCATTTACCATAACAGTCGATATGACTATTCTTAACTGTACTTTACTTCAAACAACTGCCTGTAATTGTAGAAGTTGTATCAAAAGCGGCATCACACTGACACAAAATAACCTTATAGAAATATACTTACCAAGGCTGATGCTCTGCCTGCCGTCGTCCAGTAGGACTTTAGTCTTTCTGGGATATCTTCAGCAGTCAACTGCCCCATGATGTCAGACTGACTTCATTTGACTAACTTAATAAGCATGCCCTGTCCATTTAACTCAAAAGCAGCCAGGGGCAGACAGAGGTGATTCACATAAAAAAAAGTTGTACAGTATATTTCAATAAAGGTATGTTGTATAAGTTCTATAGGGAATCTAAATATAGATCAGCTCTTTAATCAAAATATGTTTTTACAATGAAAACAGTGTTAATGCAGCGAGAACACTTAACTGAATGATGAGATTATGCAGAGGAAATGGTTTATTTCCATGATAAACATTAGACTGGACATCATTTTAACAAAATGTAAAAAAAAGTGCATTACACATGAACATTGGCAATGTACAGTACAGTACAGTACACAGAAGTTAACAAAAAAACAATAAACGTAACAAAATCTTACTCCCAGGTAGGTTTTTCATGTTCCACATTTTCCACTTCAACCTCACATGCTTTGGGGCAGACTTGTGCTCTATAAATACACTCTATAAATGCCTGGATCCCCCTTTTTAAATGACACTATGTCTTAATATCCTTCCACACAACGTCCTTAATGTCTGGCTCTTAAGTAGGATTGTCAGTTTGATGCCTGCTGCCTGGGAATAATTCAATAAAATAATTAAATAGTTGCCATTTTTAATAGAGCTTGAAGACATTCGCCTAAATTAGAGATGGCCCAAAGTTTTTTTTCTTTTGCTGTGCTACAAACAATAACTTAATGAGTAGCATTATCAGTGCTTTTCTTTATATTGACCACATCTGCAAGCTAATGTATTCAATAGCAAATTGTAGAGAAAAATATATACAGACTAAATTTCAGAGGCTGAAATCCATCCTATCTAATGTTTTAATGTAAATGATAGTTCTCATTCCAGCAAGTAAGGTTCTTCAGCCAGCTATTGAACCAATACAGTGTACCGCACGTTTTAACAATAAACAAATACAATATTATTATAGGCTATTAATAAATGGAAGTCCATCAAGTATGCGTGTACTGGGGGTGGAGGAGGCCGCTGTGCATGAGCTTTTGCATACATTATTATTTTGTGCCGAGTTATACATTGCAGGGAGCAGGGTTTATTATTTGGAGTGAGGTTAAGTAATGGACAAAAAGCAAGACCATCAACACACTCACAGAAACTTTCGCAATGCCTGTGATGCTTTATGACAGAGCTAAGGCCGAGGTTAAGGCACTTAAATACAAACACAAGTTCAAAACATGAAGCAAACAACCAAACTTAGTGCTGTGGAAAAGGATTTAGTGCCAAAAGCATCACGTGGATGCCAAGCAGAGGCCCACCTGTCAACATACTGAGAACAACTATTGGAATCATATGTATAATATATCAAAGGAAGAGTTCAACATTTTGGGAAATACGCTTATTTGCTGGGAGTCAGATGACCAGATTGATATGCCACTAATGTCTCTAGGTGGTCATTTTGTTGATATTTTCGCTTCTTCTTTTAACAACTTATGTAGCATTTTTGACATGGTTTCAAAGGTGTGTGGTATCAGATGCTGTCAACAACTTTGTAAGTGCCCAAGGTTGAATCATGCTCACGTGAGGGAAAGAACAGGCAAAACCAAATTATGTTAATCAAACTAGCGGAGCAAACCTGCAGCTCCCTGGTTTTCAGGGGAGGAAAGGGAACAGAGGATGCATTGACGTTTCTACTGATCTAACTAAAGAGCTAAATGTAGAAAAACAATTCCAATAACCCCAATGGTTAAAGATGAATAAATAATTTGCATTCATTCCTTGCACATTTTTCATTTCTTCTGAATCACTCAGTTCTTCAAACACAGTGATAACACTCAAATGTGCTTTTCCTGCGTTCAAACCCGCATCATTCAGTACTATTCTAGCACACCCAGCGTGCCAAAAACAGCAGGAACACAACATCAACCAAACAGAGGAGATTGTAGAGCAAAAACTTGTGGCACAGCAACTTTGGATTGGTGGCACAATTTGAAAAAAAACATGCCTCAAGCCGTCTTAACATATAGAAAATTAACAAAAGTACAGATGAGGAATTGACTTCTGAGGAAGCAATTTTCTTTACTTTTTCTGAATTTAAATAAAGGAAATAGTATAATTTAACTTTAAATATAAATATTTATCTAGTAATTTGAAAGTCAGAATTATAATATTATTATTAGATCAAATAAACTACACTCGCAAGGATGGACACTGCAAGCAAATAATGACACCTTGATAGTTGTTTCTGCTTTACTGTTCTTAAATGAATTTGATAGCTGTAGATCAGAAATGTGAACTGTGTGAATGGATACTAAAATTGTGCTCAAGTGCTGAATGTTTACATGATTTGCGTGCCTTCGCAAATGTTTTTCGGGTTTAAGGAAAGGTAGCCTGTGGTTTTTCAACATGTTACTAAAAGTTGAATTGGGAGCCTCTCAGATTAATAACCCAGATGCAGACTAGGAAAGAAAGTAAGAAAAGACTTCAAATCAAAAAAGGTGATTAAGTGGACCTGGCACTATGATATGGCTTTTGTTATATCGGGAAGTAATCAAAAACAGAATCAGAGTGAACAATAAAATCACATTTGAAGCTTCTTAAGGTTTCCTGATAGCTGAATTAAATGTTCTGTCATTCTCCAAGGGGTTAGATTCGATTCAATTAGTGATTAGATATGATTGTTGTCACTTTAATGACAAATGTACTGCCAAAAGTTGTTTTTTAGTTTTCCAAAAATTCAACCTACATTTTCTTTCTGTATAAGCATGTCGAGGATATGTTTTGTAATACTGCAGAGTCATGCGTGGGGCAAAAGTAAGAACGCTAAGTACGTTAACTTTAATGGAGGAGCTCAGGGTGAACCAACCGCTGAGCAGAAAACAACAAAAGAGTCTTTGACCAAAACAGTTCAAGATGCTTGTGGTCCGAGGTACGACGCTTTACAAAGAGGCATAAAAAGGCTCACATCCTTTTAAAAAATGATTATGCTTCCACGTGAAAGGCCCTTTCTTGAATCGTGATGCAAAAGCAGCTGCAGCATGGAAAATATAAGTGAAGGTTAGTGAGGATTCAGCTATCAGTGGTAAGGAAATTCTGAATGCATTCAAACTGCCTCAACTGCAAACATTCATTGAGCTCCTTCATGAACACTGTTGATGAATCAGATTGAAAAACATACAGTACACTGACAGAAGCCTCTTACTTCAGCTTTTTTTCTTTCCGTCAAAATCAGAAGTGCTAGCTTTAGCTTTCTCAGCAGTTAGAAAGGAACAACCACCACTGTCTCCTGACTGAGAAATATGCCAGAAATGTCTGTTTGGGAGGAAAATGGCAGCATAACGCTCGTCTCCACAGGGCTGTGGGGAAGTGTGATGATCCTGTGTGTGGTGTGGGGTCGGCAGATGGGCCTTAATCCGGTCTATTGGACGAGTGGAAGGACACGGGAGAGTCTTCAGTCCTTACCTGGCTAGAAGCATTCAAGCCTTTAGCGTATTTTTAAAACAACAAGCCTCACCTGGATCTTAGTGCCAGGAGACAATGACAGGATGCTCTCTGGAGATGCAGAGAGGGCCGTTGTGACCGTGCAGCTATGAGGCCAGGACATGACAGCAGAGCTTCACTTCTAGTACAACACCACAGTGCCAGTCATCTTAAAGGCCATCATAGTGTACCAGCTGGAGGCCGTGGTAAGCCTCCTCCTTCAATCTCATCCATGTCCGGGGCCACTGTATTAAGGCAGGGGCCCAACAGGATGCTGGCCCTCCATGGCCAGGCTGGGCATCTGGTCCAGCTGCTCGGCCCTCTGTCGCATCAGCTCCAGACCAAACTTAATCCCCAGTCCTGGCCTGTGCAGCTGAGCCAGAGCTTGCTGCTGGACCTCCACTGCACCGCCGGGCTGTAACTCCAAACCTTCAGCAGCACCGATGGCCCCTGCACCCACCCTTGACATTTCCACTCCCAGGTCGCCCCCCTGTGGTTGGTTCATGTCCTCTGTCTCCACACTCATGGGTGAGACCAGCTTCTGGCGGTGGGTGAGGGGCATACTGGGGGTGCAGGTGACACAGCGGTATAGATGACTACATGGCTGGACTGTTTTTGGTGCAGTGGCTTGCAGAGAGTGCAGAATTGAAGAAGAGCCAAAATGGGTCCCGGGCGGATCTATGCATATGGTGGGGACAGTGCAGTGGCGGGAGGGGTTAAGGCGGTGGGAGCGCCCCCCTGCTGGACGGTCGCAGCGCCGCCCTTGTGGTAGACGCAGGCAGTCTTTACAGGACTGATAGGAGGGCTTCACTTTTAAAGGGTTTCCAGCACTAGCACTGTCCTAAAGGGAGTAATATACAAAGTGTATGGTCAGTGGCATGCAAAATATTTGAAATGTATACATTTTCTTCTGACATTAAAGATTATGGGACTCAGATATATACAAATATATAAAAAACATGTCTATGATGTGTTTTGCTCCAAATACCAAACAAATCATGCATTTTAGAGATACCTCATATCCCTCTATTTCAGCCCTGTTAGAGAACTGCAGGTTCGGGGTCCTTAGCTTTAAAAAAGCGAATGCCTGCTCAGAATTATACCGGCAGATAGCCAGCAAAATGCTGCCGTGATGAAACGCCGTATCATGTTCAAAACCACTTCAAGGATTATTTCTGAAACAGTATGGAGCTCAAATGCTTTTTCTCTTGCGGGTTTAACACAAGGTGAGTTCCCTTCTTTATTTCCTGCTTTTTTACACATGTAATCTCTCCAGTACAGGTTAGCTCTGAGTGTTAGCGATGCTTGCTAATGTAAACAAAAGACCATATTACGTCCAAAACATGTCGTGCATTGTTTGCTGATAGCGACGTTGCTGATAGGGCCGTGGGCCCACATTTCCGATATTATGTCACATGGGACGCAAATCTGGATCAGCTCCATTGTACCCCCATTTTGAGAGATTTTTGAGATACCTGACACACCGGGGACACATTTATGTATAAAATACGTAAAAAATTGCATTTAACATGATAGGAGAACTTTAAAGCCGTTTAAAAAAAGATGCGAAACACAAAACTTTACCACACTTATAATTCTCATTCATATAACTCACGTCAAAAGCAGCAGGGCAGCTGCGCTTGGCGGCAAGGCGGTTGCTGTTGTTGGTGTTCAGGTTGGCGAGTCCTAACCGTCCTTCCTCTGTCGAATCATCGTCCCCTGGCCTCTTCCCGTCTGAACCTCCAGGTGTTTGAGCCAAGGCCGCCATCTCAGCTTCCTCTTTCTTGGCCTCTTCCTCATCCTCTTCCTCCAAAGTGCTGATCTCGAGCCTGTGTCTCATGTCCTCCAGGGGGTCGAGGCGGCCACACGTCTGAGCCGCCGTGCCCCCCCCAGGCAGCGCGAGATGGGCCATGGGGAAACCCTCGTCCTCCAACAGAGCATCCCTCTCCACGTCTTCAATCTCAATGAAAACTCTTTCCATGCCCAGCAGGGGGGGCCCCCGCACCGGGGTGGAGGGCTCGCTGTCCAGTGCAGAGTCTGACAAACGTCTGAAGTAATAATTATAGTTCAGAGAGTCGAGGGGCTCCATTTCCAGACCCGTGCCCCCCCTGCAGGGAGAGGCCCCGCAGCCCCCCCAGGCTTCTTCCCCTCTGAGCACTGGCGTCCCCTCCCCCCCACCGGAGGCTTGCAAATCATCCGAACCCTCATCGGATTCAGGCCTCCATAGCTTGTTGTGGCGCTGTTTACTATGAAGGCAAAGTACACTCTTGTTTACATGTGGAGAAAATAAGTCACAACGAAAGCGCAATTACATTGTATTTCCATCAGCATGTGTTAAGTGCTTTTAGCTTTAAAGAAAGGAGCATTGTGTAATTCAGTATCAACCTCATCGATGCATTCAAGTAAAATAACACTCCGGTGACTGCATCAAAGTGCAAACCTCAGTGAAACTTTAGAGCTGCTTACCTTGCATCCAGGATTCCCTCGTACTCCGCCAGCTGCCTCATGAAACTAGCGTTTGGCTGAGCTATGCTCCGTTTCTGCTTGACAAAGTTGTAGGCTTTCTCCAGAGGCCAGCCAAACTCCTTCATTGCGTAGGCAATAACCGTAGAGGCAGACCGGCTCACCCCCATCTTACAGTGCACCAGGCACTTTGAGTTGTTCTTCCTATTGGACACAAACAAAACCCTTTCAATCCCATTATATGGATCTAGTTGGTGATAGTTAGGACAGTGTAATAGATATTAAAGTATGAGTCTTTGTATCTTATGATCTGGTGATTTTCTAGATATGCACTACACATGACTCAACTTTAGCTTATCTTTCTTATTTACACTTCAGGTTAAAATGCTAAGACTATTTTTCTTTTTGTATTTACTTGCACTATATTTTTCTGTTTATCTGTTTTATTGTGTTGCACTGTTGGAGAAGCCTGTGACCTAAGATTTTCATCGGCATAACTACACTGTAGCTATGTTCGTATGACAAAATAAAGAACCTTGAACAGTTGCAGTTTTCTGTGACGAGTGTTTGGGTGGGACAAAAAAATAATTGTGGAAAATACATGATGCAAGCCAATAAAACTGTGACACAAAAATGATGACTAAACAATATCTATTAATACCAGTACTGTGGAGGCACACTTCCTGGATCACAGCCTTATTTTACAGTTTATAAGTGTAGATTGTTCCCAGCCCACTGGTTTGTTTTACATGTAAGGTCTTACTTGGCTTTGACCATAAAGTGGTACGTGTCGTTCCAGTGTGCCAGCAGGTCGGTGGCATCCTCATCGTAAACGCGGATGTTGTGATAAGAAAACATCCCCGGGAAGAAGTTATCAATCTCTCTGGTCACATTCAGGATGTAACCCACACTGCAGCCAACACAACAAAATGTCTTTCACTTCATTACATTTTAGTTTAACTGTTCCTCAAATTAATGTAGAAAGGAACTAAAAATCTACCAACACTTCTACACTGATGACAAAATATAAAAAAAAGAATACCAACATACAGCGAAAATTATACATGTACAGTTTTCATTTAATTCTGTATAAGATTAAAACATCTACGCTTAAATCAGGATAACATGTTATTGTAGTGTTAACTATCGGCTCACCCGCATTCATGGAGTTCTTCCAGGTTAGAAGCATTCCACTCAGAGCCCTAGGATAAATAAAAACAAAAAAAAATACATAGAATATTATAAATATTTGCAAAAAAATACATAAATATGTTGGTATCAGCATAGAGGAAGAAATAATGTTAAAATATGATTCCAAAAAAAGTTAACATGGTAAAAAGTTCTCACCAAGTACACATGGTCAAAGATGAGCGTGGGCTTGTCCATCTGACCCAGGATCAGAAGCATCTCGTTGTCGATGAACTCTTTGTACTCTTTGAGGTTGCAGCTCATGTGCTGCTCCAGCTCGTTACGGATCTGTGGACGAGTCCGAAACATCCTTATAAGTACGGTATGAAAGAAAGATCTGGATCAATCAGACATCACTCAGAGGATGATTTGGCACATACTTCCTTGGAGGTGATGTTCTCCAGGTCTTGATACGTCATGATGTTGCGTAACTTGGCTCTGATGAGACACTCTGTTCTCTCGCGCTCAGTCGGCCTGCACAGAATGAGTCAATACGTCAGTGCTGCCGTCTGTATGGAAATTAGCACAACAGTGTAATATGTTCCCACAGCTGAAGACAAAGAGACCAAAGCATTGACAGGTATCCCATGACAAAGGACATAAACACACCAGGTATGTTTTGAAATGAGCAGCAGTTGGTCTGTTTGGTCGATACAGTTAGCAATCCCTCTCAAGTATAAAGAGTTTATTAAATCAGTCAAAACTGTAATGTTTAATCTGAAAGAATCAGACAGAGATTCCTTACAATGTGAAAGCCATACTTTATGAAGCAATATGGCAAAAATGGCTGTTTTGGATCATAAAGGTTTAAATGAATGAAATAAGGTCAAACTTGATTTTTTGTAATTTACCTTGCAAAACTGAACCTTTTAATACATTATTATTTTACCTATGTTTGATTATATGTCAAATGTTGTCTCTTGTTTTCTCTCTCTATCTACATTTTCTACTTTTTTTGTTGTTGCTTTGGCCAGTTCTTCCTTGAAAAAGAGATTTAGTATCCCATTGGGTTTCTCCTGATTAAATAAATACATGAAGCAGCCTTCAGGGTCTCACCGGTCGACGAACATGGTGGGCGAGTCCGGCCGGGTGGTCTCCAGGTCGGTCATAGCGTTCCACTCGTTGATGCAGCTCTGCTCCGAGGTGATGCAGCTCTCATAGAAGGCCATCCACGTGAGAGCAATGCCCCCCTGGAAGTAGTTGAACCGGCGGGACACCTCACAGGCCTTGTGGAGGATCTGCAGGGCCGACCTGGAGAGACACAGAGAAAAAGTATTTTCTATTTCAAAATCAGGCAAATAAGACCGTGGCACTGTTTTTTTTGGTCTTACTGACAAGTGACCAGCAGGGGGCATGTGGATAGAGAAAGACTGTCAGAAGTCTTTGATTAAACAGTGGTGACAGTAATAAAGAGTGGCCCAAATAGAGTCTTCACAATGAGGACTATAGTGAAAAATACGATCAAATACTCTATGTTATTTGACCAAATCAAGAAAAAGGTACAGTTTAACAATTTAAAATATTTGTGGCGTTAGGTTTAAAGCTTGTACAGATACATTTATCAAAACAACATGTCTATAGGATGAAGAGCAGCCACACTAAAGTCGGGAATTTCGCAGGGCCTTTAAACTTAAGATAATCATTTATTGAAATGTTGTCATTTCACATGATATTTTACATATTTTCATATGAAGTCAGAAATTCTAGAATCAAGGAAATCATAATGGTGTCTAACTTCCAGTTTCCAAATTAAATATGCATACAGGCATGAGCATGATAGGTAGGAAATAGAAAAAACAAACATATATTTATCCAACATTTTACAAATAATTGGGTTTTGTGTATTTTCTATATGTATATAATTGGAATGACACACACTTTTTTGTACTGTTGTTAGTCAAGAAAATGTTAACACTGGGGCTTACTAGCAGTTATTTCATGGAGCTACTACCTGATCCTATAATTGAGCTAATTAGGTTAATCTCACATTCAGCATTCTGTGCCTTCACACAGGCACACAAATCTACATACATAACATAAAACTGAAATCTTTTAAGAATACATTGTAGTTTAATAACTTGCACAGAGGTCTTGTACACATGTTTAGATCTACCTAATGTATAAGTCTAAACAACATTTATCCAGCATGGCCAATGTGTTTTTTCTCTTGTCCTCACATAACACCACAAACACTCCACAGTAATCTCAGGTAAACAGGGAGGACTCACTCACCACATGGCCTGAACAGATACAGGCTTGAAGACATGTGACCGCCCTGCCGTGTTCACACTGAAGCCTCTGTGAGGAAGAAGAGGAAGAGGAGAAGGAGGATCAGTTTGAGTGGAGATGAACAGCGATCAGAGGGATGTAAACACAGACTGGACACGGCTCGTTCACGGGGAGTATTCAGGACACAAACAGTAGAACATTCCTCCAGCACACAGGGACAATGTTATCAGGTCCACACACACACACACACACACACACACACACACACACACACACACACACACACACACACACTAGTTAGCAGTAAACCAAAACATGCATAGTGAGGCCTCACTGAGCAGAATAAAATAAACACTTCATATTGATTCAAATAGTAATCTATTACTTGTATATAGGGCTATTACAACTCAGCAGTTGTGAAAATCCAGAAGGGCAATACATTAACTACATGACTGTTTCTATAGGTTACTGCAAATATACATTATTCTTAAATGTATATTATTACATGTCACTTGTTAGACGCTTATATCCAAAGCACACATATACATATATATATATATATATATGTATGTTACATTTTGTATTCTCCTTTACTTTAACTCCAATACTGTTGAATGTTTTTTAAATGTTAGTTCTTTGTGCAGTCAAAATAAATATATTAGATTTGTTGTGTGCCCTTTAAGAACATATTACTGGTTTTTGGCCAAATATATAAAACCTTGCAATCTGTTTAAAGTGTTCAATCTTGATGGAAAACGAAAACGAAACTTACCCATCTCCATCTAAATGTATGTTGGTATCACTCCACAGGGGCAGCACCATCCCAATAGAGCAGTTTTTACTGTGAATGACAAAGATTTACAATTATCATTAAGTAGATCTAATAAACAGATTTAACTGCGCGTAATGTAAGGCTGCAGAGAGACTTTTTACCTGTCCTTGTCCGTGAAGTCCATCCCCAGGAGAATATTTTCCTCTGTGTCTTGATGGCCGTTGGTGTAGATGACGACCATGTAGCGCACCCGTTCTGACCATCCGCTCTCCAACCGTACAGCCTGTGGAACAAAAAGGGAGAAATATACTGTATGTATTTACTAGCCTAATGCTATTTTTGTACAAACATGTATGTGACGCCATGATAAAAAAACAAACGTAAGATTCAACAGACTGCCTCCTGTTAAACAACTTTCCTAAAAAAAATTGAACTTATAAATATGAGTAATACAATCAACACTTGTGCTGTATTGATGTAGAAATGAGTCAAATTAACAACTTCTAGTTTAGAGCTTCCACACAAAAGTGATGGAGTGGGTGTATGCAAGTATTACTGACCAGCTTAATGCGATCCTCAGACCGGAGGATCTTAAACATGACCTGCAGGTGTTGAGGTAAATCACCTGAAAGTGAAACAAAGACTTATTGTTAGAAAAGTGACTGAGTGTGGGGAAATTCAATGAGAAGACCCTGCAGAGAAACGTATTTCCTACCACTGCAGTAAGTCCATAATCCTACAGATAATAATAATATTGGAATTATAGCTAATAAGCTACCAAGTTCCAACTCAACACAGAGCAAACAAAGCACACTTAAATCAAGTTTCACTGCAAGGACCTTTTCTGGTAAAAAAACAAACAAAAAAAAGGTCACCTATAGACTGATCATTCAGGATCTTCTATTACACATTCATTGTTGGATTTATTCTGCAGTGGGAGGAAATATGCTTGTGTATTTCTATCAATGAAACAACCCAGCGACCTCAAAGCCATGCTAAGCTTCAGTGTTAGCAAGTACCTGAGTCACCTGAAAACAAACTGCTTACTACTCTTGCATTTATCCTCAAATGACTTCAGGCTCAACAAGGAAAGCAGATTAGAAACTTGTAAACAGTGTGCATCTATTAAAGAAACTTAGTGATGGACAAGAAACCTTACAGCACACTTTCATTTATAGATTGTGCATGGTCATGCCCTCAGACAAACATTAGCAGCAGCATCAAATTGTAATACATGATGTCAAACCCACTTATCAAAAGTATTTAAAGTGTGGGAACAAACTGTCTGTATATTTATTTGAGATATCTTTAAGCAAACTGCATGAGACTTGACCCGTTTGAACTGATTTGTTAGCCTTCCTTGTGTTAAACTGCAGGTCTCTGGGTTCCTCACACAGTTTAAATGCAGACGAACCCACAGAGAGAAAAAGCCACCGCAGTGAAGACAATTCTCCTCTTGTCTGGAGATCTTCTGTGCAGAGAATATGGCCAAAAGAAGAAGAAACAACGCTTGTTCTGAGCATGTCTGTTCCTACCTGCATGTGTGTGGTGGGTCGGGGTCTCTGGTCCTTGTGCGCTGCCACCCTGCTGGAGGAAGAGGGCGGCTCCTTTGACCATGAAGAAGCTCTCACTGAGGCTGGAAAAAGCAGGAGTGGAAAATACATTCAAGGCTTTGAAATCTCAACAATTGCAAGCGAAGAACTGCCCTTTGTTACAGTACACTTCCACACCAGGTTAATATTGTTCTACCACTCTTCCCTTTGCTTCATTCTAACCCTATGATGCAAGATAGAGCTTAAATAACATGTACAGATCGAGTAAAACACATTGTTGTCAGATTCCTAGTTTGTGGTTAGAAATCAGTCAGGGTTGGCTGATTGCAGGAAGTTGTAACTGGCTGCACCTGAGAGGTCAGAGTAGAAAATGCTCCCTAAGCACTCACTTCATGTATTTACCTTAAACAACGTTTGCACACATACTTTCTCTCATCCATGCACGCCATACACCCACTGCCCCCTACCATACCTGCACAACCCATCTTTAGTTCTGCTTTGGATATCATTTTGAAGAAGACAAACTGAAAAAAAGCTACGCATTGTTTAATTACATTTTACAAATCCTGCACGGATTAAAATAACTCTCTACAAAAGCTATTTTTATATATATTCCTTTCATATATGACAGGAAGCTAGTCTTTAGAAGCAACCATGAGCAGTTTAATATTCATATTTTAACATCCAACATACTATTCTTACCTATAATTTAGAACCAGATTCTGTATTGATCGTGTTTTGCTCCATCATAGTTCATCTCTTTCTTTCCTGTTCCTTTATTAGCAGTAATGTTTTCTCACACATTGGTAGAAAACTATGTTCATGCCATTAAAATGTAGCTGGACAACTTATTAACCTACATTAAGAGAAGACATGCCCTACAAACAAAGTAAACCTTTGTTTTGACAACCCTTTAGTAAAGTGAGTCAGATATATACGTACAGGTTACTAAGGTGGGCTAGGTCAACAAAGTGCCAGAGTATTATTTGGATCTATAAAAGTTAAACTGACTAATTTCCAGAGTGTTCTCTAAACTGCTCAATAAAAACATATTCGGGAGAAAATCGGTCATTTGTTTTCTTGATTAATGGATTTATCATTTAGTCTAGATATTGTCAGTAAATTAGGGGGAAATGGCTGTCAATTTCTTGTTTTGTTCTGAACCAAAATATATCAAATGTACTATTATCGCAAGTAATACAAAGAAAAGCTTATCCTTAAAGTCATAAAGCTAAACATGAATAAATGTTTGGCAAAGACAGGAACGATGAGTCAATCTTATTACATTTTAGACACATTTTCCATGTGCAAATAAGTTACCATGGCACAATTGGGAATGAAATCTACTTTACGTATTGTGGTGTATTCAAGAAGTTAGTCCTCAGTGTTTCAGTGGGCAGGACTGAGGGCTCATCAGAGTCCTAACATAGTGACTTTTACAGCCATGTGTTCCTACATGTTCGGCAGACTCTTCTTGATTGTGTTCGCTGACCTGCGCTGATTCAAACACCACACCGCGACTATCCACATGTGCTCTGACTTTAAAACTTGCTCTGCTGTGGTTCCTGTGTTGGCCGCAGCTCTTCTGGGTCATGACTCTGTTGTGAGGTCTGCAGCGAAAGCAGGAGGAGAGCCTGAGCGTCTTTCCTCACACAGAACAGAGTGCAGCTTTGTTTAACCGCAGTCTCATTCCCCAGCTCAACCAACACACAAAGCCTGGTATGACTGAGTGGGACCATCACGAGGCCTTTTGTTTCAGCTGCCCTGCTACATGGTGGCATCACTGGTCCTTTTTACATATATGTAGAAGATGTATGACTTTGACAGTCAAAAAGTCACAAGAGGGTGATTTGAGTTCAAAACAAAGTATTAATCTTAGAGGAGTTTCATTTCAAATATTGTCTGTTAAATCGCAGAATTAAACCTATTGTCCAGCAATGAAAGCCATTGAATTTGCATTATTGAGAACTCTACCTGTTGTGACATTCCCAGAGAAAAATAACCAAGCAGTGATCTAGGGGTGAGATCTAAAACACACCTGAAGTTATTTCTTTATTGCCATATGTGCGGCAAAAAAGGAACCAAACTGACTTGAACAAATGTTCCCTACTTGAAAACGTTTTCAGATGAACTCCTTCCAACACAAAACACTTTTTCTTATTAATAAACACCTAAAGAAATCACCACTCTAGTTCAAACCACCAAATTGCCAGAATGAAAGCTTTAAAATGCAGCTGACCCACAATTGCAAAGGCTCATGATAATTTATTCAACTCTGACAGCCAACTCCAAACCTCCCTTACTGCCAATAAGTGGCGAGTAACTCTTAAAAAGTGTCTACTATCAAGTCTACCATCGACTTTTTGTCTGTTTGGCTGTGAGAACTTACATTCGACAGATCTCCCTCCGGGTCAGAGCAGCTCTCTCCACAAAGTGAGGCAGCACGGTGAGCATGGCTTTATGAGGAGGTTTCACAACCAGATGCATCCTGATAGTAGTTAGCGGATTATTTACAGTCTTTAAGAAAAAGAAACGTCCTTGGATTTAGTCTCTTTTCAACATCCTCCAATCCATCTCCTCCACCTGCATTTGTCCCTGGTTAGAGGACTGCCTCTTAGTTTAACTTCTCGGTCCTCCCTCTCCTCCCACAGAGTTCTCGATCCTCAAGTCTCTGAGTCTGCGCCGCCCTGTCCTCTCAGTCTCCGCTCACTATCTCCTCTTCACAGCATGTGCATCAACTCTCCCTACGCAACACTCTGCAACAATAGCATCATTCATGCGAGCGCTGGGAGGCGGTGGGAATGTTACTTTTGGCGTCAATCTCAAGTCTGACATGCAGAATCCTAAAATGCCACCCTGATTAGTTACTGAGCCACAGACACGTGTTACTCGTGCATGACATGGATGTTTACACTGTAAACGACCCACACACATAGAGAGTGAGCACAAAGACAGAGTCTGTGCCAAAGCTTTGCTGCCACAAATCAAGACTTTTGTGATGTTGGGCGGATTCAAATACAGCTTTGCTACTGAGCAGGATACATTTTTTGGTACTGTCTGTTATGTAACTGAGCAGAAGAAACATTTAAAATACCTGCCTTGTTAAATCAACTGTACAGTACTTCTAACAAGTTTTTCTCGACAACAGGGGGCCATTACAGGAAATAATCCAACAAACGGATGCGTCTGAATCGTCAGGAGGTAGGACAAGACAAGGAGCTTGCCAAAGTAATTATTTTTAAATCAGCATGATTATTTGACAGTCCAATTCATTGCACCGTTAAGTTAAAAATAACTATTCCATCCATTATATAATTAATTGTGCAATAAGCACAAACACGACCGTATGATAAACATCAGCAGAAGCCTATACATTTCAAATCGAAGTAAAAATGGTATTGTATCTCATGATGAGAAATAATGCCACTAAAAAAGGGCAGGATAATATAAAAAAAGGAAATGTTGAATTTAACTTTGCTTCAACTGTACGGGCCTTAAAAGTTCGATGAGAGTTAACACCACTGTTAAGATGACACTCTTAGTAGAGTTTGACATCTCTGTAAAATGTTCAAATAAACACGTTTTTAAAGAGCAAGCTTCTTACCTCTGATTGTTTTTCCGCTCATCATCACTTCCAAAATCCTGAAAGACAAAAGCAAGACAGAGATTATAAAGACTGCAGCAGCATGAGATTGCTCAACAGCAGTGTTAAATTAATGTCAAGGAAAAACTGAGCCACAGTCAGAGCAAATAAAGATTTAGAGAGGATGTTACATGTTCTTGCACTGTGCAGATGTTACGGTTGTTTTGGGTCATCTGCAGGCCGAATATCACTGAGCTGCAGAGCCACATGGGCAGAATACATCCAGGAAATGACTGATGGTACACGAGCACCAATGGATGTTAAGAAGCATGCATTTGGAATAAAGTGTGCCAGGGGCAACATCTGGTCCTCTGTGAGTGCTGTGATCTCATGTGCAATAAAGGGACAGTTTAATCATTTGGGACGCTTTTAAACGGCACAAGTAGGACAGCAAATAAGAGATTATGTATGATTTATTATTCTGATGATTTAGTATTATAATAAAGTAATAGTTTGCTATTAAATGTTAAAAAATCAATTCCTTTTTCACCAAGTCCAAGATGATGTCTTTAAATGTTTTTAGTATAATTTGATACTTTGAGAGGCAGGAAAACAAAGCATTTCCTGTGAGTTTTGCACAAATAAATACTTCTTAACAATTCATTTTGTTTAGAGTAATCCTTCCTGCTATCTTCCTCTTGCAGAATAGTGAGCTTTTATGCAGAAAATATAAACATAAGATATTAAAAACACAAACTTTGCACCAGAGGAACAATTTCACAGCTTGTTTTTGTGCCTCAGTTAAGTCAGCCTTCTTCAGAGCATGTAATCCACTTTCCTAGAAATTGGAGCACTAACCCTGATGTTGAGATTTCACTTGGACATCAAATCCGGCACCACTCTACATTTTAATCTTGACTTTAATTCTTGTTTGTCCTTAAAAAGTAGCTTTGCTTATGGTGTTTAATTTCTGATTCACTGCCTCAAACTAAGTCAGAGTCAATGTTACTTCTTATTGTGAAGAGCTGAATCTGCAGTTTTGGAAAGCTAGAAAATAACAACCATTGTGAGGTAAAATATAAAATACCAGCTGATACAATCTTTGAATGGGTCATTGCATAGCTGAATCTCACATCGCTCAAATACTTTTATTGGTTCTACCTTTTTGGAGTATTTATTTACACATGTATTTTTAGTCTTTTAACCATAAAGAATGTCTGCTGATGTTGGGTTTTCCTTTATATTTTGTTATCTTTTTTGCTCAATAACTTGAAAATAGTCATACAAATAAAAATATTTAATTGCCTCAGTGGTTTTACTCATTAAGTGTCTTTCTTATTGCAAGTTCATGAACACTTGACTGAAGTGTCCTGGGACACACACTGAACATAATTATAAAGAAATGTTGTCATTCCCCTTTAAAGTCTCCTCCCCTACACTGAGGCTGCATTACTACATAAAAGGCCAATAACAAGGAGGCAGAACAACCTGAGTGCAGCAAATGTTTGTGCAGCAGCAAAATGACCACTTTGTTCTGACAGCTAAACCCAGCAGCCCCCCACCCCCGTGCAGGATTGTGTTTACAAATCCGCTGCCACAGTAGCCACAAACAACTCGCTGCTGCTAACAATACAATCATATATCAAGTTTATAAAACACACTAATGATGGAAGTAGGGTTAACCCTTCCTGCAGTGTGTTAGGACACCCCCCACAGCCCGGGTGGATAGGGGCTCCTTTAGGCGCATTCTCGGCGTTTCCTCATGCCGCACACACAAAGCCCGAGCCCCGGCTTTTTCCACTCACCTCCCCCGCACTGCTGTTGGTCGTGCTGGCCGAGGATGCTGCACTGGGGGTGGGAGAGCGCTGCAGAGTCACCAGGGCCATGGTGGGTGGGCTGCTGCCTTGGAGGGCAGCGGAGGAGAGGAGAGGAGACGGGAGGGGAAGAGGATGTGGGAAGATGCGCCGCCGAGATTGTCTCTGTCACCGGGGAGAAAATGCCTAGTCAGACTCTCATCCAGCAGCGTCCAGAGCCCCGGCGGTGCTCCCGTTCGGTCCTGCTCCGTGCGTCCTCTGCGGTTACCGGAGTCCTCATGAGCGGGAAGTCATGAGAGATTTCCTTCGTTTGTAGCAAGCCAGCAGCAGCAGACCCCGAGATTTCATCACTACTGCTGCGCAGACAGACAAACAAAACACGGTGCAGGTTGCAAGCGGGGCAGAAATGACATGCAGCCTGGCCGGGCGCCTCTGATTGGCTGGCCTAGTTCGCGTGTGCTCTGTCATTGGGCCAATGTTGTCAAGGTGACTGGCCAGACTAGGAACTCCCAAATACAAATGTTGATGAAATAATATTCTGCTCATGTTATGAAACGCAGCGAAGCTGACATAATGTTGAGGAGGGTAACACATAGATAGTATTTTCCTTACCGGTGCATCTGCTCGTTATTTTCAGGATTAATTATTTGGTCTGAATAACAAAACCGTTTCAAATGTCCCCTCATTATCTCCCAATGTCACTATGTGTTGTGTTGTGTTGTTCGACCAAAACAAATCAAAAATCAATTAACTATGATGTTTAAACACAGAGACCAGATTAATGTTCACATTTCAGAAAAATACCTGGATGTTATCATAATTGTAGATTAGTTTGGTGACAATCCACAACGGAGAAGTTAAATACAAAAAATAACAAAAATTAAAATAGAAATAGTTTGCTCGGTTTAACTTAAACGTAAAGCCATAATAACAAAACAAATAATATTTTATTATGCAAATTACAACAGAGTCTCACATAAGTCATGTAACACAACTTTAATAAGAAAAAGGCCCCCTGGCTTTTTATATAAATAAATACGATATTATTTATTGAAAATGTGGGCAAGGCTTAGAATGTGCTGCTCTAAACAGAGCTTCTTCGACGTTCATCACGTCCCTCTGTTGCTTCTCATGGCCTTAATGCAGGTGGAGCTTAACAAACCAGTCCAAGCACAAGTGTGCCTCCACTCTCAATAGACATGGGGAGTGGGCCGACCCTAAATGACTGTGCTCATAAGGACATTGTCCCCCTCTTGTTTGCATGTTGTTTACCCATAATCACATACAGGATTCAACTCTCAGGCAACTGTGGCATCTGCAGCAGCTTGTAGTGGAAACAATGTCATTCTTTTGAGATGTTCTACCTCTGGTTAGAGGAGTGTGCTGTATTATTTGTTTGGTTGGTAGTGGCTGTATGTTGTCCTGCCTCCTGATCAAGACCGGACTCCTGCAGACCCTGACCCAGCGTCTCAATGGGCAGGAGCAAGGATGCAACGCCACCCAGCAGACAGAAGATCAGGTAAATCGACAAGGTCGCATTCACTGATTGCCTGAGCATCACCTGAAACCAAAACACAAAATGTGAGGTGGAGAAACAAACAGCCTGAAGGAGCCAAAAATGAGTGTTGCTGGAACTAGTTTATTTCTAAAGTGCGAGCAGAGATGGTCACTTAGAGTTTGTTTTGTTTTTATTATTTTATTTACTCATTATTCATTGTCTCAAGTGACTTGTATTTCTTGGCTGCATTGACCTTATCCTAATTTTTATATTTTTCAGTTTTTCTTTATTTGAAATGTCTATGAATCACTTTGTAAATCTGTTTTTAAAAAAAGAAGAAAACAGTTAAAGTTGATTGAAATTATTATTATTCTTGTCATTTTGCATACCTGTGCCACAAAGGGGGTAATCAGGGCCCCCACCCTGCTTACCGCACTGGAAGTCCCCATTGCTATGGCTCTCGTTTCTGTCGGGTACACCTAATGTGAAGAGAGAGTATTACGGCCCGTTCAAGTAATCTAAAAACAAATCATTGCTGTTAGCGTGGTAAAATGGTTTGTAAACCTACCTCTGGTGTGTAAACAAAACCAACTTGAAATCCTCCAGAGATGAAGGCTCTGGCAATAAATATGCAGATAGTAACAGACAGCCTGCATGGACAGAAAGACAGACACAAAGAGTTAAGAGGTCAGTCATGATGATTTGATATTTCGCTGTTGTGCTAATGTGACAAAATAACACAAACTCACCTCCCGATACAAGCAAATAAGGGCATTATGCACAAAGAAAACATGAAGAAACACAGAGCCAGGCTCTTCTTTCTGCCAATACGGTCAATTGCAAGGATGATAAGTAAAATACCTGAAAGAAATAACAAAAACAAAACCTGATGTGGCAATAAAGAGTTGTACAAACACAGTACGCAAAAACTACAATTATACACCCTAAGGCAAGTTTATTTATATAGCACCTTTCAACACGAGGCAATTCAAAGTGCTTTACAAAAAATGAAAGACATTAAGAAAATGGCATTTAAAATCAGTCATTAAAAAGAAAAGATAATAAAATAAACATTTAAAGAAAAAATACATGGATAAAAGTTACAGTGCAGTTTAAGATGTGAATAGTTCAATTAAAAGCAGCGACAAAAAGAAAAGTCTTCAGCCTGGATTTAAAAGTAGTAAGAGTTGCAGCGGACCTGCAGGTCTCTGGGAGTTTGTTCCAGATATTTGGAGCATAATAACTGAATGCTGCTTTACCATGTTTAGTTCTGACTCTGGGGACAGGAAGCTGACACGTCCTTGAAGACCTGAGAGATCTGGATGGTTCATAATTTAGCAGGAGGTCAGAAATTAATTTTGGGCCCAAACCATTCAGTGCTTTATAAACAGCAGCAGTATTTTGAAATCTATTCTTTGACAGACAGGAAGCCAGTGTAAAGACTTCAGAACAGGAGTGATGTGATCCACTTTCTTAGTGTTAGTGAGGACTCGAGCAGCAGCGTTCTGAATCAGCTGCAGCTTTCTTTTCTTTTTATAAGCGACTCCCTTAAACAACACCAGCAGGCCTGAGACGGAAATAAACAAGAGCTTATAAATCAACAAAAATAAATAAGTTTAGCCGGATTCAATAAAAGGTATGTAAATACAAATGCAAAGTGAGCTTTATTTGAACCATATTCCTTGGCATTGATATGTTTTTTAATTTACTTTATATTTGTCATTATGGCTCCTCAGTGGGGTATTGTATATAAATAAAATCTATTGGTTCTTGCATTTAAGCAAAAAGCATATCCATGTTGTGAAAGTTTTCGTTATGGATGGATACTAAAATATGGAGGAACCTGTATATCATCCCAACACTGTTCTTGGCAGCAGAACCATGGAAGTCTTGACCAACAAGTTTCAAGTTACAGCTCTGAAAACAGCTTAAGAGGAGCGTTTTACCTGGGAATTCAGCCAAGGTGGTCCATAAAAGGTCTTTGTAGTCACTTGATGTCAAATATTTGCATTCCAGACTACAGCTTGGTTCAATCTTGGCCCCTTGAATTGCTATAAAGAAAAGGACAGTTGTTTTTGTTGTTTGTTCCAATTTAAGAAACAAAATGACAATGAGTTGCTCCTACCTGTACATAACTGTCCAGCTTGGAATAGCTCAGTAGTCAAGAGTACTATCCCGTAGTAGGAGAAGGCATTTGCAAACCTATGGATAAAATAACAACACAGAGTTCTAAGTTGTGTAGTGTTAAATGTAGCCTTTTGTTCCAACTACTATACAAGACAAATCTCAGCATTATGTTACCTGGTCCACTAGGAACCATCCACTACGTTTGTAATACTACCTGGGCAAAGGTGTGCACCGTGTTAAATTCATTTGAGGTCATTTGAGTAAGCAGTTTTATTCAGGAATATGCAAGCAGAATAACAACCGAAATAAAACATTTGGACACTATATTTTGACACAGGAGCCTCATTCAGTTAATGTTGCAAGTCTTTACTCCCAGACTAATAACCACAATACAACAAAGTGAACCTATGTTTTTTCAACTTAACTGGGTCGGTAATCCAGACTTGACTAAATACCTACCTTTGACTGAAATTCCAGATGAAGAAAAATTAAACAATAGAGGAAATTAGACACAAACCATATAAACCAAAGAAGCAGAGTAGTCTTCCAATACTGAGGAGTGAAGAGATCTTTAATCCTTCCACGCTCATTCTGTGAAATGACAAAAACAGAAGGTATATTTCTTAATCGTTGTAATCAAGCATTGTTTTGGATACTCATCTGCTCTCTCTGAATAAAACAGGAACATATATGGCTTAACTGACCTGTTTATTGCCGACAAGCTTCCCTTTAGGCATAGGCTTGCCATTGTCTTTGGCAATGCGTGCTAAAGTCTCCATGGCCTTCCCTGTTTTTCCCATCAGGAGATGAAAGCGAGCACTTTCAGGAAGCCACTGTGCATCACAGAAAGCTCAGTCAAGAACCTGAAAATCAGCTGTTTCTTTATTGGAATTACCAAAATACTTACATAGCAGAAGCATAGAAACACTGCCATCGGTAAACTGGAAAAGAAGAGCAGCCACCTCCAGCCCAGAGTGGGCATTATCAACAGAGCCAGGAGGACCTCGAACACAGAGCCAATCGCCCAGAACGCCTAAAGTACACATTAAATGAACAGTATATTAAGTCGGTTTAAAGATTCAACACTGGAATAAAGTACAAGTCATGCAGTAACGATAAAAACACCAAAGTACCGCAATCAGCATGATGTAGGTGCCTCTGGACTTCACTGGAAGGAATTCAGAGTACAGTGTCACCCTAAAAAGAGACCACATGTTTGTTGCAAATCATTTAAAGGCTATTCAAATATGCTAGTCTGTCATAAAAACAGAAGTTGAACTTACGACTGAGGAACTCCTCCAATGCCAAAGCCTACAAGGCCCCGTAGAAACAGGAGCCAGCCGTACACAGGAGCAAAGGAACTCAACACGCCGTAGATCAGAGCCCAGCAGGCACACATCGTCAGACCCTGAGACAGAAAACACACACGTTTAAAATCTAATCATACATAAAAAACAATAATTCATAAATGAAAATCTCATAAAGTAGACTTACTGTTTTCCTGCCGTATGTATCGGACATATTCCCCCATAAAGGTGACCCGACACCCATTCCAGCAAACACTACCTAAGAAATTTTTGTGGAAATAACATGCAAACTTGCCACAATTAGCTTATCGCTTTATTCTAGGATTTATGGACATTAGCTCAGTTTTATGCTGGATTTCCCCAACCATTGTAAGACTTGGGCATCGCCTTATATGCATTTATTTCAACAGCAGAGGATGAGAGTACATTTTTATTCATCGTTTTGGTGGTGTG